CCGGTCACGGGGGAGGCGACCGGCCCCGGAGGGACGAGGAGGAGGAGGAGGAGGAGAAGGACCAGGGCAGGCCTGAGGGAAGGGAGGAGGCGGCGAGCGCCCAAACGGTGCGAAGGCTGAGGGAGGCCCCGGCCCCTCACCTGCTCTGTCCGGTACTGAGGCTCAGCACAGCAGGCATGATGGTGCTTTTATTCCCCTCTTTCTCTCTAGCGAAGCAGTGACTGTTGAGTATCCGCTGCAGGGAGGATTTCACCATCCGGCCGCTCTGGTCCGAACCCCGAAACCCTCCGCTGCCTCCCGCCGGCCGCTCTCCAGGCGCTGCTACACAAAATGGCAGCGCCGCCGCAGTGGGTCCTTATATACCCTCCCTAGGCCACGCCTCCCGCCTGGGCCACGCCTCTCAGATCAGGCCACGCCCCCAACCGGGAAAGGGCTCCCGTCCGGCGAACGGCTTGTTTGTCCCTTACAAATACTCTCTTCCTATTGGCTGAAGAGAGAGCGGGGGGCGGAACGAGGAGCTCTTTCCCTATTGGCTGGCAGCGTGAGGGGGTTCACCATTGGTTAGAAGGGCCATCAAAATGAAGTGGGGGGGAATCACGGCCTGTGATTGGCTAGACCCGCTGCGGGTGGGCGGGATCTGGCGAGGTCCGCCTGGCTGGCTTCGGAGCGGCGCCGCAGCCCTCACTTCCCTGAGAGCCGCCGGTTCGAGTCCCGTGTTCGCGCCCTCGCCTGGCTGAGGTAAACTGCGGCGGAGGGGAGGGGTCGGCACTGGCCCTGCGCAGGCGCTGAAGGGCGGGAGGAGCGGGGAGGCGGTGGCAGGAACGTCCCTCGGTGGAGGGTGTGTGGGGTGGAGAAGGCACGGAGGGCCGGGGGCTCCTGACCGCCTCGGGACCCCTGGGGCTGCCTCATCACCGGTGGGGGGAAGCTCGGCCTCCCGGCAATGAGACCTCTTGTGGGGAGCAGTGGGCTTGTGGGGTGTCACCACCCCCCGAGCTGTCACCCAAGGTGTTTTCGGCTCGATGCTGAGAGAAACTTTAATTAAAAAATCAATAAAAAACTCCCCCAAGTGCTGGAGGGGGTCCCTGAAAGGAGGGGCTGAAGGTGTGAGGTGGTTTTGAGGGGGGGGGGGCCTGTGGCTCCCAATGGCATCGTCTCCCAGTTTCCTTCAGCCCCCGTGTTGTGCTGCCCGGCAGAGTGATTTATGGCTTCAGTTGTCTGGGGAATGGTTGGTGGTAATGTTTAAATAGAAAAAGGCTTTGTGCTGCCCCTTCGTGAGAAAGTGAATAAATTTCTGGTTATTTACATAGCAGAAGTTGCTGTGCATCCCCACCTCAGCGTAGCCTCTACGCTCCCCTCAAAGGCGTAGCCTTTCATCTCCTGAGAGGATTTTGGAAATCTGAGGGTAGGGGACATAGTTGGGTCTTTCTGCAGCCCCATGGCAAGAGCAAGGTCTGGAGGGAAGGATGTGAAATTGAAAATCGGGCGCCCTGCTTCTTTGTGGACAATATCAATCAAAACAGATCCATCCCTTTTTTTTAGGGGGGGGGAGGAGGGGATGTTGGCAACCTTCAATCTTGAAAGCAGCAAATGTCCCATGGCAAGAGCAAGGTCTGGAGGGAAGGATGTGAAATTGAAAATCGGGCGCCCTGCTTCTTTGTGGACAATATCAATCAAAACAGATCCATCCCTTTTTTTTAGGGGGGGGGAGGAGGGGATGTTGGCAACCTTCAATCTTGAAAGCAGCAAATGTATACAAAAGGTAAACAGGCTGTAATTTCCATGATGGGAGATCCTTCGGCTCAGCCATTTCTAAAAATTTCAGCCTATTGCGTGTTGGGTGAGAGCATCCCTCTTCTGAAAACCCAGCCAGAAGCATATCAGAAAAGTCAGAGCACATCCTGAGCAGTAGATCCTATGTGGAACAAAAGCTCAAAATAATGGTACAAATGATGCCGAATCAAGTTTGCAGACAGGTATGCCTTGTAAATTAAGTGGGGAAAAAAGTGTATAGAGAGCCAAAGAAATCTACTAAAGATACAGTGTGGAGATTTTCAAAATCATGATTTTCTGAAAAAAACAAAACCCTGTAGATGGCTGTATTTCTTTTTCGTTCAGCCCAGGCTACAACACACCTATTTCATTGCCCCCATCCCTTTTTTTTTTTTGGGCGGGGGGATGTTGGCAACCTTCAATCTTGAAAGCAGCAAATGTATACAAAAGGTAAACAGGCTGTAATTTCCATGATGGGAGATCCTTCGGCTCAGCCATTTCTAAAAATTTCAGCCTATTGCGTGTTGGGTGAGAGCATCCCTCTTCTGAAAACCCAGCCAGAAGCATATCAGAAAAGTCAGAGCACATCCTGAGCAGTAGATCCTATGTGGAACAAAAGCTCAAAATAATGGTACAAATGATGCCGAATCAAGTTTGCAGACAGGTATGCCTTGTAAATTAAGTGGGGAAAAAAGTGTATAGAGAGCCAAAGAAATCTACTAAAGATACAGTGTGGAGATTTTCAAAATCATGATTTTCTGAAAAAAACAAAACCCTGTAGATGGCTGTATTTCTTTTTCGTTCAGCCCAGGCTACAACACACCTATTTCATTGCCTTCAGACACCATAGCGTTTGGGCATTATTTTTTATCATCATTCAACCCAGGCTACAACACACTTATTTTATTGCCTTCAGACACCATAGCGTTTGGGCATTATTTTTTAATTTACTACCTTGCTTATTTTCATTTGCTTTAAAATATTCCCATCCAGGAGCTCTGAGCACATGGGATGCTCCGTGGATCAGTTCCACTTTGCCCAAGGATTGAAGTGTCTAAATCCCCACCCACCTTCTGTGTCCTCAAACTGCTCTGCCTGACTATGATAGAACAAAGTGTATTTTGCCAAAAAAGCAAATACTGTCTCTTCTCCTGCAGCTTAGATGAGAAGCCCGGCCTGGCCAGTAGCCAGCCACTGGTCTGGGAGTCCTGGTAAGTATGAGGGACGAGAGAAAAATGCTTTTCCTGCTGCAGGTGTGTCTGCATTTAGCTCCCAGAAGACAAGGAAACTGAGATATTGGTGCTCGCTTTCACCTCGCTCACTAGATTTGGCTGTTGATTTATGGAGGGGAAGCTGACTGCTATTTAATGTATTACCCAGGGACTGAGTTGAAACAATAGGATGACTGCAATTCAGGAATAGCCTGGCCAAATGAAGCCCATCAGAGAAGATTTAGCAATTCCTGTTTTGTCTATTGTTTTAGAAAGGTTTTCCTGATGGGGGAACGAATGTATTAGTGGGTTGGAAGGACTGCTTTAGCATTTTGTGATAGGTTTTTTGTTTCTAATAGCGGCATTTATTATTTATGTAGTAATCCAACTGTAACTCCTTATAATGGTACCGTGTCAGAGGACATCATCTTTGCAGCTGCTTCCCTCTTTGCTGTGGCACTGGAAGCAGCTTTGCCCTTTGGATACCTGTCATCTCAACGGGCCGTCATTCCATTTTACGGCTGAGTGACTCGGGTAACGCTGTGCCGCTCGGCAGTCTGCAAAAAGCCCCAAAAAACTGTTTTGGTTTTGTGCATTAAATATCGCGTGGGATTAGTTCCAGCTGCAGTTTTGCTGAGATATCCTGACTTCCAGTTTAGCAGTGACAGTGATTCATAAATCCTCTCAGAGAAGCCTCTGACTCACAATTTTGGGATTAACAGCTGAGGTGGTTTGAGATGTTGCCACCTCCAGCTGGTTTTGTACCACTGGTTTGCCATGATGACCCTCCCCGCGGCAGCATAGGAGGTAGGAGGAACTGTGTGTCAGTGTCTCAGTTGCTCCAGCTGTGTTCCCAGTTTAGCATCATGGTCCAAACCCATCTTCATCCCTGGTGTTACTGAATATACTGGGCAGTGAACCCCAACAGCCGATGTGGGAGCATCCATTCCTGCCTGGCCGTGTCTGTGGTGGCACAACAGCTTTCAACACAGAGGCAAGATGGACAGTTGCAAATGAAAAATTTTGTCCATCAACATCCTGAGGCTCTGTTCATCCCAAATCCACAGATACAGTGTCAAAGCCACCTGCATTCTGCTGGCTCCTGACTACCACAGCCTTCCCATCTCCAAAAAAATGCATGTTTCAAAGGACCGGCGTAGTCCCCAAAGCAGGAGACGCAGCAGGGAGCTGGTATCTGTTCTCTCCTGAGCTGCCTGCTGAGGAGGGCATGCGAGTCCCACTTGCCCTGTGTTCTTACACAAGCAGGTTGTAGCAATTAGGCTGTATGGAATGACCTGGGAAAATAGCTTGTACGGTCAGTTACTCAATAACCAGAGCTGTTAACAGAGTGCTCCTCTCCTGAGCTACCTGCTGAGGAGGGCATGCAGCGAGTCCCACTTGCCCTGTGTTCTTACACAAGCAGGTTGTAGCAATTAGGCTATATGGAATGACCTGGGAAAATAGCTTGTACAGTCAGTTACTCAATAACCAGAGCTGTTAACAGAGAAAGTGCAGAAGAAGCAACACAACTGAACTCCACGTCAGGAAATCTGACTTGAAATTGTTTCAGTTCAGGGAAGCCACGGAGTTTCATTTTCTAGGATTTCATTTTCGTTTTTTAGCTTGTTTCAATGCTTTTCAGCCTCTTTTAACAAGAGAAGTCTCAGATGTTAGTCAAAATCACCAGTTCTTCATCATGTTTCTTTGTCAAGCTTTTATAGTTTTTACTTTCTGAAGTATATTGGAGTGGAAGAAGAGTTTTTGACAGCACAGGAGTAAGTTAAAGTCAAATTCCAACCTGATAGCTGATATATATACACAGAGCAAGAAATAAGGATCAGTAACTGAATGTCTTTCCTCTTCATTGTCCATTTTCAGGTTTGCAAGTGTTTGTGATCAGATGACGCGAAACTAGTGCTCAGAAAGATGTGCAAGACCTGAAACACTCATAAGACCTTGCTGGTTCTGAAATCCTGCACGTCGATACCTTATGGCCTCGTTTATTTAGATAACGAAAGCAAAACTGTTCTGTTGGTTTAGGCGATGAAAACATCACTAAATAACACAGCTGCAAATATTAGTGTTGAGGTGTGTTTTTTGTGCCACCAAGGAGGCTGTTGCAGAGTTTGCTGCTGCCAGCTTTGTTGAAGCAGCTCCTGCATCCATGTTCTAGAGGAGTCACAAAGCTCCAGTGAAGGTGAATGGAAAAAAAACCCCCGATATTTGACATGTAGCAGAAACCCCCGTGTACCTTCTGCTTGGCTGCATCATGCTGTCATGGCTCTTCTTGAATGTGGAAATAGATATTTATGACATTTAGCAGCATCACGGGAATTAATCTCTCTCTGATTTGCTGAGTGGGGAAGTGCAGCAGAAAGAAAAACATGAGCTCTCTTTTAAAGCATGTGCAGGCCTTACATAGCATCATGTGTTTAGTGACTTCCCAAAAATGGTAAAAAATATATAATAATTAATTGAGCTGGACTATGAAATCAAGTCGTTCTGATTGCCTTTTCTCTCTTATTTCCACTCCAGGAGGACTTACAGCTTTAAGAGTTATCTAGAGATGTAGCCAAGCCCCAGAACAGGACAGAATCTGAGGCAGAGATGTCCATTGTGACATGTTTTCACAGACATCGTTGTGTGTCGTGACTTCTCCACCCTGCAATTTAGCTGGGTTTAGGCCCAGAATAATTTAAATGTCCATCTTGGTCAGCTCTTTGTGGAGACGAAGAACAGCAAAAGCTTGTGAGGTCTTTATCAAAACGCTGCACAGTGCTATTTCTAAATTTTGTAAGACCTATAGTTTATAAGTCTTACAAAGCTCTTAATTGTACCCATCTTCTTCCCTAGAACTTGTGGTTCATTTTCTTACAGTTAACAGTTAACTACCAGTTATCTAATTTTAAATACTTGCCCACTAAAAACACTATTTGGTGTGTTAGAATCTATTCTGATCTTTGTGGGACACGTAATTAGAACACTTTTTTCTGGCTGGAAAACTCTCCTCATTTTCATTGTCATCCGTGCAGGAATGATTTGATTTGAAGGTCAGGTTTTCTGCAGACCCACTTGTGCTGGTTCTGCGTGCCACTGCCAAGCAGGAATTCTTAGATGTTTGCCAGCACAGGGAAGAATTTCTTTTCCAAGATCTTTGTGAGATACTGAACTAGAAGAAAGCAGTGAGTGACTGGTTCGTCAGGCCAACAAATGTCTGTACTTCTTACCAAAGAAATTTTGGATCTCTGCTTTCTCACTTACAAACAGCTGGTATGAAGAGGACGGTATATTGAATGCAGATGAGGTAACAGATGTTTAAAATGCTTTAAAGTCTTGTTATCTGATTGAGGGGTGTAATCCAACATAGCGCTGGTCACCTGATAAGTGCTGGGTTGTTTTCTTTCAGTCTGCGGGACCAAACCAGGCAGTTTCCCTATAAAAATAATGTGGGGGTGAGGGGAAATGTTTGAAGCACGGGCAGGAAATGCAGTCAGCTGGAGAGGGGGTGAGCCAACAGTGAGGGACGTGGAGACACGGTCAGGGGGTGACACCTTCACATTTCTGGGAAAAGAAGTGTGCTTGTGCCCTTTGTCATTACAGTTTTGTAATTTAACAATAATGTTCCACAAGCTTGATTTTTGTATTGATTTTTTTTTTTTTTTTTTCCGAGTGTCGCTGCCAGTTGTGAACAAATGGGCAGGAGGAATTCCGGGGTGGTTACAAAACAGTCCTGTGGAAGATGTTGCAACATCCTCCCTTCCACACACCATTTTCTGTTTCGTTTACGGACCAGAGGCAGCTCGGGTCTGTGTCCGTGCCTCTCTCTCTGCTCCCCATCCCCACGTTAATTAGAGGTGATTAAGGTTCTGGTCTTGTGCAGTGTGCCACAGAGGGGAGCTCAGCTCGGAGAGGAGATGGGGCAATCAAATGCTCCCCTTCCCATTAGCAGAGGAGAGGGCAGAGGGGTGCACAGAGCAGAGGGGTGCACAGAGCCTGGTCCTGAAAAACGTGCGTCTCTGTGATCACATATACTCAGCATTTGGATGTGCAGGGGCTTTCTGGAATTCTTTCATGAACATTTTCTTTCCCTGCTGACCCCTTTCCCTCGCTGCTTTGTGTGGTGGATCTATTCATTTATTTTTTGCTTATCTTCCCTTTTCTCCTAGAGAAGAGCCAGCACCATCTGATGTTTCTTTGCAGGACGGGCCGCTTTCGCAGGCTCTGTGTCGGGAAGGGGAGCTGGATGGCGGTGCCTTATTTTCCTTCAGCTCCTATTGTGCTTGGCTCAGTCAACTTTAGGGACGAGGAAGTGCAGAGTACAGCTCAGCTTTTGTAACTCTATTTCGTTTGGAAATGTTATCAAAACAAACAGATGCCAGCAGGATGAGCGTTAAGACCTGTGCAGAATCGGCTCTGTCAGAAACGAGTTCAGAGTCAGTTTTGCCTGCCTAAACATTTCGCCCAGCAGCTCATTAAAATGGATGTATTCAAAGGAGACTTCCCCCCCCCGATTAGATCATTCCTGTGATAAGAGCATTAACGAGCATATTTTCCCATAAATAAAATGAACGAGCCTCGAGGGCAGGGAAGGTTATTGAGCCCGCAATAAGTTATATGCCCCACTTGTCCTCTGGAGAGTTGCTAAGAGTCAGGGAATCAGTTGGCCCCTTTGCTGTGAGCCCGAGAACAGCCTCTGACCAGCAGAATTGGCAAAGTGGGACATCTCCCAGCTGTGTGTTTGTGCTGCGCGGTGCTTTATTTTGGGTATAATCCCTGTGGATTCAGCGCAAAGTCACTCACCCGGAGCTGCGCTAAGAGCCAGGGCAGCCCTCGGGGACGGGGGAGCTCCAGCCCTGGTGGCAGCTGCTTTTGCCAGGTTGGTTATTTGAGCTCCGTGCAGTCTGGTGCTTTTTTGTGTGCGTTTGAACCAATATTTACTCATGGCTCTGTGTACCGAGATAGTCGGCAATCCCTCCGAGTGAGAGTGGAGCTGGAGGCAGCCATCAGGCCAGCTTAGCAGCTCGGGTTGTTTACATTTTCCTTTAACCATACTCTTGAATTTCAGGCTGGTGAAAGGTGGCAGCTTGACAGCTCTGGGGAGCCTTTACCTGTGCAGCAGGTAGAGAGTGATGGCAACGCCAAGTGTCCCCTGCAACGCACCCCTCTGACTGCCCACCCACTGCACCTCTGCAGTGCTGTGTCCAGCTCTGGAGTCCTCAGCACAGGAAGGACATGGAGCTGTTGGAGCGGGGCCAGAGGAGGCCCCGGAGATGCTGGGAGGGCTGGAGCCCCTCTGCTGGGAGGGGGGGCTGAGAGAGTTGGGGGGGTTCAGCCTGGAGAAGAGAAGGCTGCGGGGAGACCTTGGAGCCCCTTCCAGTCCCTAAAGAAGGGGGGCTCCAGGAAAGCTGGGGAGGGACTCTGGATGAGGGAGGGGAGCCCTAGGAGGAGGGGGAAGGGTTGGACCCTGCAAGAGGGGAGATGGAGCTGAGCTGTGGGGAAGAACTTGTTTGGTGTGAGGGTGGTGAGAGCCTGGCCCAGGTTGGCCAGAGAAGCTGTGGCTGCCCCATCCCTGGAGGGGTTCAAGGGCAGGTTGGAGGGGGCTTGGAGCAACCTGGTGTGGTGGGAGGTGTCCCTGCCCAGGGCAGGGGGTGGCACTGGGGGGGCTTTATGCTCCTTTCCCACCCAAACCAGTCTGTGATTCTGTGTTTCAGCCAGGAAAACCCCTCTGAGCAGTGGGTGGGGAGCAGCCCCCCAACCCATGCAGGCCTTGGTGTCTCCCCACCACTTGCACTGTGAGAGACACACTGAAGTTTAAAGACAACCGGTGGCATCGTGATGTTTCTAAGGGGCTGACAGCAGGCTGCTCTCAAATAAGCCACCAGCTTTTCAACAAGTTGAAGGGTGGAGGCTTTAAAATGAAGGCAGCTCTATTTCATTGCTAGAATTTTCCAGTTTTCGGAAAGGTTTTTATTTATGAGGCCATTCTAGGTACAGATTAACTTACCTTGTCTTCTGTTTGTTATTAACTGTAGAAGAAGCTCAGATCTGAAGGGGTCATTGCTCACCCCACTGGAAAGGTGGGACTTGGTGCAGAGCACTGCAGTGTTCTCCAGCGACGTTCCCCAGAGCATCATGGTGCCTGCCCCTGGGTTTCCAAAGTAACCGGGCTTCAGGGGAGCCATTTATTCCTGCGTGTCCTCCTGCCTCTAAGCCCAGCAATCTCTCTCAGGTGCACTAACACAGCCCGTGGGGCTTCCTGCTGCAGAGCCAGGGCAGCCTAAGCTTTGGAGAGTGCAAAATTGTGCTTCCACACGGAGCTGAGTGTGTGCTTGTAACTCTTAATAAGACCAACAGATTTCCTAAGGTGTGAGAAGATAAAGAGCTCACATAAGGAAGGCAGGAAACGTTGAAATTACTCTTCTGGCTTGGACCGATGACCTGTTTGTTTGATTTCCTGCTTACAGTGACTTATGGTATGCAAAGAAAAGGGAGCAGTTGTGATTACAGAAAATAATCTGTCTGGACAGGAATGGACAATTACTTGTGGAATTTGTTTTTTGGATCTTTTAGCCACTGAAGCTCTTCCTTGTGTTCCTCCGCATCTGATCCCCATATAAATGTTTGTCCTTTCTTGGGTCATTGAGTTTCCATTTTGGGTTCATAGAATCATAGAATTGCCCAGGCCAGAAGGGACCTCCAAAGGCCATCTAGTCCGACCCCCCCGCAGTCAGCAGGGACACCCCCAACTAGACCAGGTTGCCCAGGGCCTCGTCGAGCCTCTCCTTGAATATCTCCAGGGAAGGGGCCTCAACCACCTCCCTGGGCAACCTGTTCCAGTGCTCCACCACCCTCACAGTGAAGAACCCTCTCCTCATCTCCAGTCTAAATCTGTTCCCCTCCAGCTTGAATCTTGGGGATCATTCGGGATCATCTCGGGATAATGTCCTTGCAGATGACCATGCAGGTTGTGGGGGGATCATTTGGGATCATCTCGGGGGTATGTCCTTGCAGATGACCATGCAGGTTGTGGTGGTGCCCTGCCTTCCTGATGTTTCCACAGACTTCTGTCCAACGGCACAT